ATCTCCACTTCCTTCAGTTAATTCATTCAACTCGGGATAGTTATGCAACAAACAACACTCTAGAAAATCAACGAGCAACTAATTCAGCAGAAATTTCGAAAACACTACTCAATTTGCCTACCTTATCCAGCTGAGGTGCTTTTGGATTGGTCAGTCCTTCTGTCACAAGACGAACAGCTTGAGTTGCCCGAGCCGCAACATCGTCACTAATCACAACATTGGTGATCTTCTCAGTTAAAGCCTTAAATAATAAATCGATCAGCAAATCACTATACATCACACATCAAACTCGAGAATCAATATTTATTTATGTAGCGATTCATGTACCTTCCAGGTTGCACCTTCCAATGAGTAAGGATAAAGTAAGCGATTGCAGAAACGCTTCGAATAATCTTTAGAAGTAATACACTTGGGCTACTTCTCACGGGATCTCCTTTGAAGGTCGATGAGAACCGGTAGCTATGACATAGGTAAAAAGTTGCATACCCTTTTAAAGGAGAAAGGGCCTCAGCCCATTGTGAACTCCTGTCACCGTGGNAAAAGCACTGGCTCGGCTGGCCCCCGCAACTCATTGTATCGGCCACGTACGCATTCAAAACGCCACTACAGCTCTGAATGGATGTCCCTCAGAAGGGACTATCCAACGTCCGAAGACTTTATCCTTTTCTTCGAGCAAATTAGCCCTTACCCACCTTCAAAGCCTTTACAGCTGACATTGCACGCATCGAATTATCCAGAATAGCTCTGAGCCGCATTCTGTCCACTTCCCAAACAGCCAAAGGTACTGAGCTTCGTTTCCAGGTGCTTGGTAGATCGCTGTCCACCCCGAGCAGTACTCGTAGCGCACCCAGCACACGAGCGCCCGGTTGAGCTGATTCTTCTGTCTCGCCGAGGCCGATTCGCGGTATAACTGCTCCCCATGATGCTACAGCAGCTCCACGACTATCCTCGCCCTGGAATGTCCTCCAGCTAACACAAACAATCTATTATACTATTACTGAAGACAGCACTACGAAACAAGAAAAAATAACACAGTTCCTCCTATTAGAATTAAAGGAAAACAAATACTCACGGTAGGGTCCAACATCACCACAGGTACATCTACTTCGATAATAATCATTTTCAGAACAGGCAATGAAGATTCCACAGACAGCAGTTGAGAATCGACCTAAGAGAAAAAGCCAACGCATCGAGTCAACCCGCAATTTCAGACCTTCGAAAAACGGCTCTGAGAGACTGAATCGATAGATTTTACAATACTCTCTAAGCCCTTCACAGTATTAGAGGGGTCTCACCGACCGTAAAACCTGCAAAGTGAGTCGATAAAAATACTTAATTCCATTACCTCTTTCAGTAAGCGTTCCATTCCTTCTTGTGTGAGCGTATATCTGCCCTGTACATCTGCTTCAAAAAAGTTTGAGATCTCGAAGTCCCACAGGTGTTCTGAGCTGAGCTTAAAACATAGCAACATTGATAGAAGTAGGAAACATAAGAAAACGGAAAAGAAATAAACAAAAAACAAAACAACCTGAGAATCTAA